TGGAGGTAGCAAACCCCCCCCCCCCCCCCCCCCCCAGCTCTTTCCCAGGAGGCGAGCAGCCTCGTCCCCACTTTCTACTCTGCACCTCCTGGGCTTCCAGGCATCTGCCCATATCTCTGAGGTGCCTGTGGGCGCATATCTATAGTGACAAATCTCCAAATGTCACCCCCAGGTGTGTGTTGTCACAGTCAGGAATGTGTGTTCAGAAGATACGTTGCCTGAGTCTAAGTCCTGCAGGGTGGAGCTGTGACGCGAAGTGGGGATGACTCAGGCCTGAGCAGAGCTCTGCCGCACTGCCCCTTCCTGCTCCCCCTTCTTCCAGAGTCGAGCTTGGATGACGTTTGGTATTGTGGCCGACATTTGCAGACACAAGGAAAAGGCCAAAGATGGCAGGTGTATCCATTGAACCACCACCATAAACCTCTGGGCTTCTTGTTTTGTGAGAAAAATAAACTGTTATTAATTTAAACTGCTGGGTCATGTTTTCTTTTACTTGCAACCAAAGTCATTACTAAGAGATTTCATTGGGGATGTAAGAAAGGCTTCACACAGGCTGTAGCTTTTGAGCAGATCCTTGAAGGAGATCTCCAGGCAGCAGAGAGGGAGAAGGGCATGTGGGCAGACACAGCCCACAGGTCCAAGCACAGTGTGGACAGAAGCTGTGTGATGTATAAGAAAGAATCCAAAAGTGTTTGGTGAATGGCAAGATTCTCTTAGACAGAGAGGTGCTGGGGAGAGTGTTCCAGTCTAATGAAGCATGGGGCAAAATGTGCAGGCAGGGATGTGCGTGTGGTGATAGAGGCACTCCTGCTTGTGCCTGGTTCCTGTTTGGGGAGCTGCAGAGATAAGGCTGGGAAGGTGGATGGGGCCAGACTCCAAGTGGTCAGGAGCTTGGTCAGTGGCCTTCCTGAGCCAGGCACAGCCTGACAATGTGCCGAATGAGTCTCTCTCATTACACCACTCACGGGGATCACTTTGGGAGGAGAGAGGGAGAGGATGGGGATTTTCACAAATGTGCAGGACCTTGTTGCTCACACTGAGCTCACACTCACACTGTCCTATAGTAAAGGCACCAGAGCCCCTCAATCTTCTTCAGCCTCTGAGACTAGTCAAGTGGGGATGTGATACCATTGTCTGTGCTGAACTGTGGCATTTTGGTGCAGAAAGGGTCATGTGAAAGAATCAAATGCTGTGCAGAGAGTCAAGCAGAGACCCAGGTTTAAATTCTAGCTCCACTTGTTATTAACTGAGTGACTTGGAAACATCAAATGTTCCAAACTCCCGCGTAAAGGAGTAAACGCCTGGCGTCTGGCGCTGAGAGGCATACCATAAATGTTACAGATTTTTAGTAAATTATTTGCACTTTTAAAAAAGTCCTTGAATTTTCTCCTCTCTCTCTCCCTCATTAAAGGAAAAGCCAGCTTTCTCTCTCCTTGCCTCAGCGAAGGTGTGGGCACAGCTGGAAGCAGCAGTAACCTGCAGAGTGGTCAGGAGGCTGTTGCCTGAAGCCCGACTGAGCTCATAGGAGGACACGGGCTCCTTAGAGGACAGGAAAGGAGCAGGGGAGACGGGCAGGTCTCAAATGGCACGGACCTGGACCCTGCCCCTGGATGGTGGTCCAGGGAGGTAGGAAGATCAGAGAAGAGTAGCCTTGTGGCTTGGCTGGAGAAGTATGTCCTAGGCAGCTTCCAGAGGCTGGGTCGGCCCACGTGAGGCATAGAGGTAACAGGGGCTGGGGCAAGGACAAGAAAGTCCACCGAGCCCAGCCCTGTGACTCGTCAGGCTGGAGAGTCACCTGGACCAAGCACATCTGCTGGGCACTGCACAAAAATGACTAAGATTAATTTCTCCCCTATCCTCAAAGGACAGGGACACGCTACAGAAATTCAATTGATTTTGAGACGAGGAAAGGAACTCCTGCTCTGCACACACCTGAGATTCAGTGCAGCACCACGAGCTTGTAAATTCCACATTTTACAGATGAGGAAATGAGACCAGAGAATGAATGGTGTGACTCCTTTAAGGTCACTCGACTGCAGTCATTTATGACCCACATGTGTAGAAGCTCTGACACGAGTCAGACGTGGTACTCTTATTTTTGATCCTCACAGGACTCTCTCAGTGTCATTGTCTCTAAACTGTGGAAGAGGGAAATGAGGCACAGAGAAATAAAGGAACTTGCTTAAGGTCACATCACTGTGCAGCTGACCCAGGATTTGAGGCCAGGATGGCCACCCATATGCTTCCCAAGAACCGTATTTCCCTGCCACCTGGCCTCTTGAAGCAGGAAGTGACATCCCTTTGGGCTTCCTCCTAAGGCACTTTTCATAGCAGGGTCACGTATTAGATCCAATCTGTCCCTCACCTGACCAGGGGTTCCCTAAGGGCAGAGATGACGGCAGCTCTGTCTCTGCACGTTCAGTACAGGTGCCCAGAAGCCGCTTAAGAAACTGCCTAGAATTGGCTTTATGGGGTTCAAGTCTGAGTGGAGGTCACAAGCTTGTGCCAAGGGGGGCCTCCCTGGGCTGTGATTTTTTTTTGTTTTTTTGATCTTTTTGGGGGCTCTGATTTTTTGTAGCCACTTTTGTGTATCGGTCCCCAGGCCCAAGAAGTCTAGACCAAGGAGGGTCAACCCCACCTGGCACCAGGTAACCAGTGATGCAATCTTATCATGGCTTTTCTAAAAGCTTTTCACTGTGCTTGTCCTGCCCTGGTGGATAAACTCTCCTAATGCTCTGTGCTCTTAGGACAGAGTTCTTGATAATGTGCACTTAGTATGATCTCAATCTTGTGAACAAACACAGAACAGCCAGGGCTCAGGAATCTTTGATTCTTGGCTAGAGGGTCACCTTCCAGTGGGAGAAGTGGCTGAGTCTGATGTTTGGGCTCAGTAGGGAGGACAGTTTGCTTCTGGGTCCAGCTGTGCCACTGGGGATGTGAAGCTGAGTGGTATAGCCCTCTATGCATCCTTCCCCTGCCCCCTCCTGGTGTTGCTGACCCCAGAGGGGCTTAGCCCCAGATGCCACAGATGGGGTCCACTACAGCTGGATGTGCTTGTGCTGAGGGGTGCCCAGAGGTTAGGAGAGTGAGCTCGAAGTAGAACTGTCTCCAGACCTGGTAAGCTGATGAAATTTCTGCAGCAGCTGGGCCCTGCGTTGTGATGCGAGGTGCATTAGACCAGGAGTCGTGGCACAGTTTCCAGCTCTGTTTTCATTATAGGCAAGCCTGTTGTCCTCTCTAAGCCCTGTCTCCAGGACATCATAAAGACACTGCCTGCTCTTCCTCCTGCTATTTCTCAAGGGTGGTGGCAAGGCCACACGGTCATTTGTTTGCTTAACCAGACATTTGTTGAGCACCTAGTGCACACAGGCCCTGACTGGTGGGGCCACGTCTGCCGGGAAGAAAACAGGGAGCCAGTGATACCTTTTAGGGTTAGTGTAGGTTTTGCTCTATACTTCCCTGGGTTTTGAGGGGAAAAGAATGCCACAAAGACAGCTGATGTGCCTGAGGCCATTTCTAGAGCATGAGGGCAGTAGTGGCCTGGCCTTTTGGGAACCTGGCCCTCAGCTTTGTGAGGGGACATAGGTGGTGGGGGCAGAGGGAGTAAAGCCAACCATGGCAGGGGTCAGATCTGGTCATCTTTCTAACTTGACTCCAAGTTAGACAGGGAGTCACATGGGTAGCCTGGGGACATTAGGGAAGGGCTTGGGAGCAGGAAAACCCCTGCTTCTCCTGTCTGAATCTGAGGCTGGCCTCCCAAGGCCCCTACAAGTCAAATGCATGAAAATTTGGAGTCTGTCCCTCTCAGCAGTGTCCCCCTACTGCCCTCTCTTCTACTCCCAGCAGCCTCGCTGTCCATGCAGACTCCTGTCCTGGTGGGTCTGTGCTCTCTTGCCCTCCTGTGGTCCTGAAGCCCCTGCTTTCCCATTTCACCCCTGTGTGTTGACCTAACCTGATCTTCCAGTGTCCAGCCTCCCTCACCCCTGGACACTGTCTTCCTCAATGATTTCATGGCTACAGTCTTTGTCCTCCTTCTTATCCTGAAACTCTCTCTGGCTATAGGCTTAAGAGAGAACCCGGCCTCCCTGGCCTGGACTCTGGGAGCCTCTGCTCCATACTGTCCTGTGATAGGCAGTTCTGAGAAGCTCTCCCTGAACCTCTGAGTGAGACCCAGGTACTGAGGCCTCATCTATTCCCTACCCTGTCACTGTCGTATTGCTCTGCTTTCCCGTGGTACTTGTCTGCCTTTCTGGCTCAAGCCCACCTGGTTCTTCCAGTTGCTAACGTGATCTAGCACTTACCCCTCACCTTCTCCACACCTTCTAAGGTGGAACCAAGGGCCCACGTCCTAGAGATGCACAAGCTTGGTGCCTGCTAGACCATATAGACCATGCCCCGTGGGGATGTGGGGCAACCTGCTCTGCGCTCTCAACTCCAAGCCCCACTCACAGGTGACAGATTGAATAAACACTCTTCTGCTTCAGATGCCACTTTGGGAGTAGGCTGAACTCCCCCCACACCCTGTAAATGAGACTCAGGCAATTTCTGGATAGGACAGGCTACTGTTTTCCAGTGAAGTCAGGCTGGGGAGAGGAGGCAGCCAGGATGGGAGTCAGGTCTGTGGTGAATAGGCGTCTTATAGAGCATAAAGTGGACCATGAAACAGGCTTCTGGCAGCAGCTCCAACTGTAGGAGTTAAGAAGACCTGTTTGGAAGAGGAGCTGAGATCAAAGAAGCCCATGTTGATGCTTCAGGCCTGAAGACCAGGCATCTGTACCCTTCAACTTTGGAGTCCCTGGAGTGGCAGAACTTGTGACCCTAATCAGCGTGGTCTTAGGTACTTTGACCTAATTGCGTTATATTGCTGTGTTTGTGGAATGGCCTGAAGGCAGGGGCTGTCCCTAAAGTCTGGGCTTTCAGCCAGAGTGAACCTGCTCCCTCTATAAAGGCTGTGGGGAGTGGGCTCTGGCTGGTGGTGCAGTGGCCAGCCTGCGTGCAGGATGAAGTGCTTCGTGGCGCTATTTGCAATCCTCACTGTCTCCCAGGTCAGTGGGATCACCAGGTGAGTGTCAGCCCCCAGGGGAGGGGAAGGCAGCTCATGTCTTCTGCTGGGAGGCTGTGAGCCTCGTCTTCTAGCCATTGTCCCACTGGGAAGTCTTAGGAGGAAAGGCCGTGGGGGCCTGGGATGGTGGCCTCTGTTGGTCTTGCCTTTGCGTGTTGAGACCTTTTCCTCTAAGAGCATCTCTACTCTTCAAGGTGTGGTGAAAAGACAGGGAGTCACATGGGCAGCCTGGGGCTTTTGGAGTCAGAGTGCCTGGGATCTGATCTTTAGTTCCATCGCTAACTCTGTGTTTCAGTTTCCTATTCGTAAAATTAGGACTCTAGTAGAATCCATTTCATCGGGATGTTATGAAGGTTGTAATATACATATAGTACATTATATACATATAATGCTTTCAAATAGTAGTGGGTGCACTCTAAGAGCTGCATATACATTTGTTAAACAAAATAAAATTCTCTGTTGTACCGAGTCCCTTGCGGATGAAGGTCTCAGGTTTTCCTCCAAAAATCATAACTGATTTATTGAGCTGTGTGCTACTATGTGCCAGGCACTTAACTAGCCCTTTACCTATGCTATCACTATTCCTCGCTGGTTAGGTAGATTTATTATTTGTAATTTAAAAATGTTGTATAAGGGTGTATCTCTGAGATGCCTAAGGCCACATGTCCAGTGACAGAGAAGCTAGGACTTGGCCCCGAGGAGACTAACACTCTTGCTACGACATCACACTACCCCCAGGTGCTGTCAAGCCCTGGGCACAGGGAAGCCCGAATCCATTGCTGGGGAAGATGGATCCCTGCAAAGAGGTCAGGGTGCCTTTGATCAATCAAAGCTCTCTGAAAATAAAGTTCCTCCGTGTCCCAGGCATGCCAGTGACCCTAACTCAGGGAGGTGGCTGGAGCCGCCTGTGGGGCTGCCCTCCTGGTTTAGCATGAGGTAGTGAACCACTCTTTGGATGCTGCTGACTTCTCTCTCTGGGAAAGGCATTCTGAAGCCTTGTGCTGGGGTGGGTCAGCCCAGCCATTTCAGCTACTCCCATGGGAGTTTCCAGGCATTCAGCAGTTAGATCCTGATCAATCAGGAACTGCAGCTGGAGCCAGGCAAAAAACATTTGATGGGCCTGGACAAGGGAACATAGGCAGCTGTTGGCTTGACCCCAGGAGCTCATTTCAGCCTCTTCCTTTTTGTGCTTAAGTCCTTTTTCACCATCGGAGACGAAGGCTGAGAAGCGTTTCGCCTTTATAAGTCAGGTCCCAGCTGAAGTTACATAAGAGGGCTGGGGGTGAAGGGCCCTGGAGGAGAGACTCTAGCTCACATACAGCCTGCTCTGTGTGGCCATGGGGGATATGGATGACATGAGGAACCCCAGTCCCTACGTGAGTCTCACAACTGCTGCCGTTTTATTTATTGCTGTCAAAGCACTTTCACATCTGCAGTCTCAGGGTGTTCTTTAGACCAGCCTCACAGAGAAAGACCACGTGATTCCTTGAGGTGGAAGGAGTTACAGGAATTACCAAACTATTAATACTGTAATCTACGGGAAAGGAGACTAAAGACCAATGAGGTTAAGCCACCTGCTTGGTCAAAGGCAGGGTCAGGAGAGTGGCTGGAAAGGAGGGAGTTAAACTATTTCACAGAAAAACTAGCTGAGGCTAAGGGGTCTTTGTGGAGACTTGAAAAGGAAGGTGGGAGCTTTGGGAAACCTCCAGGGGAAGGTCAGGGGATTTAGGGAGCCCCTAAGAAGAAGGTCAGGGGACTTGGGGAGCCTTCTAAGTTGCTGCAGACAGGGGAGAGCCAGGTATAGAAGCAGCTTCTGCTGTTCGCCCACTTGACCCCTCCCTGTTGATCTGCCTGTGTCATCTAATACCTAAACTTGATCAGGAGGCCCCTGGGAAGCTCTTTGGAGAATTTCCATCCACTTCAGAGAAAAAGTTACTTAGAGAGTGGAGAACAGGGGTTAGCAAAGGGCAGGATCTGGCATTAACCAGAGTGTGGAGGCTTTGTTTGCCTCTCCAGGCAGCGAGCTCCTGGAGGGTAGAGACTGCGTCCTTTGCACCTGTAGGTACATAGCAGGGATCTGGTGACTGCATGAGTGGTAATGTGCTTAGTATCTTTCGAACTGTGGGTTGTAGGACTTATTAACATTTTGTAAAATATGTCTAGAGGTTTTCTACCAGCATGGAAAAAAGAGAAAGGACTAAAAAACATTGGAGTACATTGCATTCCATAAAGATAAGCATTGATTTGGGAACTGACATAAAATATATTTCTTAAGAAAATATATGTATATATATATTTCTTACTTTGGATTATGAGAAAAAGAAATGTTTGAAAGCCACTGACTGGGGGTCAGTGAGGTTATTTACCAGAAGCCCGTGCTGGGAGGAGCAGTGTGGGGAGTAGTTTATGGAGCCCAGTGGCTCTGGGCACTTTTGGGACTGGGTACCTAGGAGAGATGCCCACTCTCATCACAAATTCTGTCCCATTTCCTTAGGATCCCTCTGCACAAAGGGAAGTCTCTGAGGACGATCCTGGGGGAGCGCGGACTCCTGGATTATTTTCTGAGGGAATACCAGTATGCAACCAACCAGAACTACTCCAACCTTCAGGAGGTGGCCAGACAGCCTCTGACCAACTACCTGGATGTGAGTTGCTCTGCCAGCCTTCCCCGATGAAGTCTCGACTCCTCAGCCCTGCCTCCTATGGCTTTTCCCTCTCTCAGGAATCTTGGCATCTGTGGTGGTGATGGTGCGACATCTCCCTGCCTTCTGTAGACTCTGTACAGAGCCAGCAAAGGCTGTGGTCCTGCTGTACAGCTCTGAATGCCACCACTGGGAGGGGGTGAGCCCCGGGACCTTCCTCACACATTCCTGGGGTTGTATAATCTGCTCCCAGGTCCGTCCTCAGTCTACCTTTCCCAGCTCAGGGAATCCACGTGTTGTCTGCACTCAGCAGGGATGGGATAGGTGCTGTTTTTCTGCACCTGCTCAGAACATGGCGCCATCCTGCTCCTCCCACCCAGGACCCAGGCAGCAGTGTCCCTTGTGCCTTCTTCCTTCCTGGAGCTTGTCTCTCTCTCACTTGTCACTCTTGGCAGTAAACAATCAGCCTTTTCCCTCTTCTGTGCCTCATTTTCTTATTTAGGTCATCTTCACCTCTCTCCCCTTAGCTCTGACAGCAGGGGGAGGCGGATATGGACAGGTTGGCTTGGCAGGGGACTTGGGGTCCTGCACATGCTGATGCCCTGCCTCTGTCCAGTTCTTCCTGCCCTGACAGGGATGACCTAGTCTCCCTCCCAAGCAGGATTTATGTTTTGGTCCAAGATCTGCTTCTGAGGCTGAGTCTAGCAGTGGTTATAGGGCCTATGGGAGGATAAGGCCAAGTGTGGCTGGGGGTAGGACCCTTGGTAGAGGCTGGAGATGAAGGACCCTCCTCTTGACCTCCCAGGTCTCTGCGCAGAAAGCACAGGGCCTACAAAACTGCTCCCGCTCCATGCTCAGCATCCACCTTCACTTCCTTCTCTCCCTGTACTGCTGGCCTCTGACCCAGTGCTGTCTGTCCCCAGGTCCAGTACTTTGGGACGGTCTCCATTGGAACTCCACCCCAGAAATTCACTGTGGTGTTTGACACAGGCTCCTCGGACTTCTGGGTGCCCTCTGTTTATTGTAAAAGCCCTGCCTGCCGTGAGTGACCGCCCTCTCCCACCTCCCCGCCATGCTCCGTCAGGGTGGCTGGGGAGGAAAGTGAGGTGGGCGACTGGACAGCTGGATTTGAGCTTCCCAGCCTCCTGGTTGTGTCCCTTCTCCTTACTCAACCTCCCAAATGGCCATAGATTGGGAAGGTTTGAAAGTCAGGGATCTAAGCTAAAAATCAGGGAATGTTAGTTTCTTTTTCTTTAAACAAATTTTATTATTATTATTATTTTTTTTTTGGTTTCTACTGGGAGCGAAGGCAAGCTTCTCACCCTCCTGAGTCCTCAATTTTCTGTTTTATAAAATGGGGCATGATATGACAGTGTGATCGGGGAGAATAAAATGAGAGGGTCTATTGCTAACGATGAATAAACATCAAGCATGTGTTAATCATTTATTTTTCCAGCAGTCCTGGGAGGTTGGTGTTATCCCCATTTTATAGATGAAAAAACCAAGGCATGGGGAGAAAAAGGGGCTCTCGGCTGAGACTTCTCCGCTGGTAAAAGTAAAACGTCCCTGACAACCACAGTCAGGACCATCTCCCTTCCTAACTACACAAGTAGCACTGAGCTCTGGAGAACTGGGCTGAGTAGCACAGAATAATTCTCTTTATTAAACTGTGGGACTAAGGCCATCGAGAGAGAATGGGCTGCTTATTTTCTGTAGTGAGAATGGCTGGAATCTAGATGATGTTCTTCCAAGGCCTGGTGAGGGTTTCGGGCCTGGATGGCACTGTGGGTGATGAGAAGATTCTAACGGCCCCGCACTAACCCTGGGTCTGTGTTTCAGAAAATCACCACCGCTTTGACCCAACCGAGTCTTCCACCTTCAAGTCGCTGGGTGACTCCATATCCATCCAGTATGGCCTGGGCAGCATGGAGGGCGTTTTGGGCACCGACACTGTCACTGTAAGTGGGCTTGGGGCCAGCCAGTGCTCACCTTGCCTTTCCCACCAGCCACTTTACCATGTAGACACATTGGCTCCAGTGGGCCTCACTGCTGGCTGGTGCTGAGGGCTCCTCAGAGGGATTTCAGCCAACAGCCAGCTTTGGGTTGTCCCTTCCTCGTTCTCTCCTTCCCATATCAGTGCTCAGAGGCCCAACCTGGCTGCCTCCTCTGGGACCAGGTCATCACTTTCTGAACCCTCGTTCATATGTCCATGTTAGTTAGTTAGTTAGTTAGTTCAGATTTATAAGCTTGTGCCAACAGCGAGCTCTTCAATGTCCTGTATGTGATTTATTTTTAAATTTTGTTCTTCTGACAGCCCTTTGAGGAAAGTATTTTTATTCCCATTGTGAGATGAGAAAACTGACACTCAGACGCGTTGATAACTTGCCCGAAGTCACGCAGAGGACATGTGTGTGCACTGAGCTCAGCTCTGTGTCTCTCACTCTCTGCTAGTGCTCCCAGCTAGACCTCACTCTGTGAGTCACAGAGGCATCTTCCTCTGAGTAGGGAGCATCTGTGCCCTCCAGGGTCAGGCTCTGGCTTTCCCTCGACTCCTCTTGACCTCTGGAGTACCTAATACAGTGGTGGGAACTTAGAAAGTGCCCACACATGTCAATGTCTGTCTTTCTTTCCTCATCCAGCATCCAAGATTAAAAATTCAGCAGTATCACTTGGTGCTCATCACCTTGCTCCTCCTTGGATTCTTCCTTGGGTCTGGTTGAAGTGTCTCTAGCTTTGAGCCCTTCTCTGCTGACCCCCTTTTGCTCAGCCCCTTCCTTGGTTGGGCAGGTGCCTGCCCCACTCCAAGAGTTAGCACCAGGCAGCTAAGTGGTCCAGCCATCAGGCCTCTAGAAGGCTAATTCTAGCCAGGCCCCAGGAGTTGGAGGTTGCTGTGAGCTAGGCTGACACCATTGCACTCGAGCCTGGGGAGCAGAGTGAGACTTTCTCTAAAATAAAAAGAAATAGAAGGCTAATTGTCCTGCCTAAGGGTCCTACTTCCTCTGCAGTCAGGAGCCATTTACTTTCATTTTGGCTCTCCTGGGTGTGTCCTCACTGGAGAGCTGGCCCTGTGCTGGCAAGCTCAGTGGAGGCGTATTGGACTGATTTCACTCACTCGCCACCTGGGGCTGGGGGTTGAGGAGAGAGCCTGCAGTCAGCAACCCAGCAGTCCCCTAGAGAGTGGGGGAGTGGGGTGTGGCACGTGTTGGGAAGCCCTCTCCTGGTTTGGCAGCTGGCCTCGTGCAGACTCTACTTTTCTGCTTGTTTGAACCAGAGTTGGCTGGGTTCAGGGTGGGGACCAAGTGGGAAGGTCATCCCAGTTCCCTGTTTCAAGCAGGAAGGTTTGGGGGGAGGAGGAAAGGATGAAGTCCAGTAAGACTAGCCTGACTCAAATGATGGGACATTGGGGCCAGGAATAGGGCAAGGGCTATCGTCAGAGCCATGGGGAAGGGGGAGATGCTGAGCTCTCCTTAATTCAGGATCTCCCACCTTCTAGGAGAACCCCCAAAAGGGGGTTCTGGGTGCTAGACTGAGGGGGAAGGGGCCCTACTGCACTGGGCTGTGGTCAGGAGCAGGGTTCTGGATGGATGCAGCAGGCTTTTCTCTGCAGAGCTGGGTGACTTTGGACAGGCCTTGATTTCCTAATCTGTAGAGTGGACATAATAGTACTTACCTCGGAGCACTGCGGTGAGGAATGAATGTAGTAACTGTGTACCCTTTATTTGTCCTTTCATTCCCTATGTCCCATCTGTTCACACATCCTGTTGACCCTCCCTCCTAGGCCATCAAGGGTCTGAGCACTGCATACACCTCCCCTCCTGGTTCCGCCTCTATCCTGTGGAACATCAGTGGTCTCCCTGCTCTTACTGTTCTGCCACTTTCTGGCACAGCAGCCAGATCCATTAAAAAGTCCTATCATGCCCACCTTGTCCGGAAATCTTTCCGTGGCTCCTCATCTTACTTGGATTAAATGAAAAGTAGCCTGCAAAGCCCCATGTGATTGGGTCCCCCACCCTGCTGTTCCCTGCCCTCCTCTGCCCCACCCTCTACTTTGTCTATTGTTCTCTGTATCCCATGCACACTGTGCTAGGACTGGCCACTTGTAGTGCCTGCCCAGGTCTGCACTGCACCTGCCCCCCTGACTACTGGTGGCAATGTCCCCATCAGTGAGGCCTTCTCTCTCCACAGCATGAAATGACCTGCTGCAGTTGCCCTTACTCTGAGCTGTTTTTCTTGAGAGTGCTTTTGCCATCTGGCATGTGCTATGTTACTTCTTTTTAAAACTTATTTTCTGTCTCCCCCACTGGAATATAAGTTCCTCCAGGACAGGCACTTTGTTTTGCTCACTGCAACATCCCCAGGGCCTAATAGCTGGTGCATCTCAGGTGGCCCCATCTCTGTTTTCTGACAGAAAGTAAGTGTGACTCCATTTATTCTCTGGCACTTATTAGCTCCTTATTAGTTCCTGTTGGGCCTTAATCTCAGAATGGAGGCTACAGGGATGAACAAAGGGACTGTCTTCCTTGTGCTGGCACTTCTGGGGGACAATACACACTCACGTAAATGACTTTGCACAGTGCTGAGTGGCATGAGGAAAACAAAACTGGATAGCATGAAAGAGGCTTCTGGGGGCTGGAAAATAGATTCACCCAGGACATGGTGGCCAGGGAGGCCCAAATGATGTGATTGCAGAAGCCAGACCTCAAAAGGTCTGGGGGAGAGCATTCTAGGCAGAGGAAACAGCAAGTACAAAGGCCCTGGGGCAGGACGAATTGGGGCGTTAGGAAGAAGAAGACCAGCATGGGTGCAACAGGGCAAGTGAAGGGGTAAGAGAGGTGGCACGGGGAGTGAGAAGCAGAATGAGAATGCAAGAAGACTCTAGGACAAAGGTTTCATGCTGAGCTCCGTCAGGACCTACTAGAGGGTTGTACAAGGGGTGGCGTGACTTGATTGTCTTTTTTTTTTTTGAGACAGAGCCTCAAGCTGTCCCCCTGGGCAGAGTGCCGTGGCATTACAGCTCACAGCAACCTCCAACTCCTGGGCTCAAGAGAGTCTCCTGCCTCAGCCTCCCAAGTAGCTGGGACCACAGGTGCCCGCCACAACGCCCGGCTATTTTTTGGTTGCAGCCGTCATTGTTGTTTGGCGGGTCCGGGCTGGGGATTCGAACCCGCCACCTTAGGTGTACGTGGCTGGCGCTTTGATTGTCATTTTTAAAGATCACTTTGGAGATGGTCCCATATAAGGGATGGATTATAAGGGAGCAGAGTGTAAGCAGGACGCCTGGCAGTGGCCTGGGCTAGAGACACTGGTGGCCAGAATAGTCTGGTGGACACATTGGCTCCCCAGGGAAGTGGGCAGAAGAAATTTTGGAATTAGCGCCTTTTTAGCATAGTGCCGATAAATGTTTGATAATCGAACATTTAGTAAATGCCCCATATGCATTCAGGGTTAGTGTTATTTAGCCTAAGCTGCCTTGAGGTGCAGGTTTTCCCATTCCACTTAACAGATAAAGGGATTGAACCTCAGAGAAGTGGTTTCCCAAGGTCACACAGCTGGCATGGGGAAAAACAGGGACCCATTTCCCCTGGTGTTGGGGACATAAAATGTTCTTCTTGGTCTCTGTGCCTCTGTAGTGTTTCCCGGGAGATGCTCCAGGCACAGCTGAGGGGGCCCTTGGAACATCAGTTGTCCTACCTCCTTCTCTGGGCTCTTTCCCAACCTTTGGCACAACGAGCACCATGTTGTCTGTTCCCCTCATCCCTGGCCTCCTCAGATCAAGTCCTCAAAACTGCAGCGCTGACTGTTGGGGAAGGAGGGTTTTTTTCATTCAATCTCAAATGACTACTTTGTCTGTAAGAGGGAAGGAGGGCCAGTGAGGCTAAGACTCTGATGCTGGCTCCTGACTCAGGATTGGTGGCCCCCACCCTGGGACTTCCTGTCCCTGGACACAGGGGCTCCCTAGTGGATGTCATTATGACTCTCTTGCAGGTCTCCTCCATTGTGATTCCCGACCAGACAGTGGGCCTGAGCACCCTGGAACCTGGCAACGTCTTCGTCTACTCCCAGTTTGATGGGGTCCTGGGACTGGGGTACCCCTTTCTGGCCTCTAGGCACTCTGTGCCTGTGTTTGACAACATGATGACCAGAAAGCTGGTGGCCCAGGACCTGTTCTCGGTTTACATGAGCAGGTAGGAGCTTCGCCCAGCCAGGGCCTGGCTTTGACTTCCTGATAAGAACTGTCAGCTGAGGAAAGTGTTCAGCCCCTGGGAACATCACCTGTCATGGGTAGCTGCTAGCATCCACGCGGACCCTCTCCTTGATCCCAGACACATCCAACTTCTTGTCCAAAGCCCCCCAGATATGATTACTTATGCAACCAGAGTCCACTGGGCCAAAATTTGTCTTTCATTTCTGGCATGTAAAAAACAAAGCCAGATCTTAACGCTGTGTAGGAGCTTTTAATTTTTTTTTCCAAAGTGACAAGGCCTCAGTAACTATTTGTTGATGTCATTGAGATTCATAGACTTTTTTTTTTTTTTTTTTTTTTTTTTTGGCAGTTATTTTTGGCTGGGGCTGGGTTTGAACCTGCTACCTCCAGCATATGGGGCTGGTACCCTACTCCTTCGAGCCACAGGCACCACCCAAGATTCATAGACTTTTAATACTGACTCCAGGACTCCAACCTTTTCCTTTCACTAGGAGAAAATCGAGGCCCAGGGAGAGGCCTTCTCCCTGGGGCTCAGCCAGGCTGGAGCCCAGTGTTCCTGCTACCAGCCCAGTGCTTCCTACTCTACCTCCCTGCTCCACATGGGCTCGGAGTGGGTAGGAGTCAGGGTGAGGGATGAGGGGGGCAGGACCACCTCCAGGAGAAGGGGCTGGGTGGTTCCCTGGATTAGGGAAGCCCAGACAAGGGGTTGATGGGTGCACTCACTCACTCAGGCGACATTCACTGGGCCCTTCTTATATGCAGGGCTGTGCTAGAGGTGGGTATAGATGGCAACCTGGGAGTTAGCATTTTAGCAGGGGGAATGGGCAGCACACAATGAATGACTGTAACCAAGTAGTTATGATAAGTTTTATGAGATTCAGGTGTGTCAGAGGCTTATGCAATGGAGAAGCCTAGGCTGCTGGCAGAGGGTGGCCAGGGCAGGTTTCCCTGAGGAGTGGAGGCCACGTGCAGGTGACACAGAGGGCCAGGACAGTGCATTTTAGTCCATGGGGACAGTGTATACTAGTTCTCAGCAATGAGATGGGGCTTGTTGAGTTCTAGGAGCCGAGAGTGGCAGCGTGGGAAACCGGTAAGGGACAGTGGGCAGTTGTTTCCCAGCCACACTGCACCAGAAGGAACCGAGGGGATTTGGGCTTGGGTGGCAGATTTATTTATTTATTTATTTTTTGAGGCAGAGACTCAAGCTGTCACCCTGGGTAGAGTGCTGTGGCATCATAGCTCACAGCAACCTCAAACTCTTGGGTTTAAATGATTCTCTTACCTCAGCCTCCCAAGTAGCTGGGACTACAGGCACCCACCACAATGCCCAGCTATTTTTTGGTTGTAGTTGTCATTGTTGTTTGGCAGGCCTGGGCTGGATTTGAACCTGCTAGCTCTGGTGTATGTGGCTGGTACCCTAGCCGCTGAGCTACAGACACCGAGCCTGGGTGGCGGTTTTAATCCAAAGTGTGGGGCCTTGTTTAAGACCCCCTTTTCTACTGGGGGCAGAAATCTCTGGGGGAGCAGGAGCAAAGGGAGACAGCTGGGAACACCCAAGGTGGCTGCGGCAGAGCCTAGCTGTCCTGGGGTCTGGGTGTGGGTTGTTTCCTCCCCTCACAGGACGATGGCCTAGCCTGGGGTTGGGGTAAGGGCCCCAGTGCTCTGGAGAAAAGATGTTGCCACTGTTAATCAGAATGAAGCCCCTCTGGAGAGAGGCACAGCGAGGCTGGGAGAGCTGGTCTAAACCCTTCAGAGGTGGGGGTAGCTAGGTCTCAATGGGTCAGCCCCAGGGTGGGGCTGGAGCACCACCTCACAACCTTGGAAATCAGCAAGTCTTGTCTCGGTTTCAGGAGTGGCCCGGGGAGCATGCTCACGTTCGGGGCCATTGACCAGTCGTACTACACAGGCAGCCTGCACTGGGTGCCTGTGACCGTACAGAGATACTGGCAATTCACCGTGGACAGGTGGGTGAGTGCAGCTCTGTGTAGGCCTAGCCAGGGGATGACTTCAGGTGTGGGAATGTGAAGACTAGGGGGTCCGGTCCCCAGGCTCTGAGGACTGTGGCATTGTAGTTTGTAAGACGACCTCTCAGAATCTGAACCAGACACCTCCCAGGTCATGAGCTCCGTTGGTGATAAGGGTGCACATTCACCTGTGCTGTATTACTAAGACTAGATGCATTTATGGAGCGCCCACCTCCTGCCAGGCCCCGTGCTGAGCGCTTGTGTGACTGTTTCACTTGTTCCTTATTAAAACCCCAGGAGGTGGGTGCCATTATCATCTCCATTTTATTTTTTTTTCAGTTTTTGGCTGGGGGTGGGTTTGAACCCACCACCTCCCGCATATGGGGCTGGCGCCTTGCTCCTTTGAGCTACAGGCGCCGCCCCATCATCTCCATTTTTTAATTTACCAAAGAGTTTAAACCTTACGGCTATCCCTTGAGGAAGTAAACATACCCATTTTGCAGATGGGAAGCCTGAGTATGCAAAGGTTGAGTAACTTGTTGGAGACATGCAGTGAGTTAATGGCAGAGAAAACTCGAAATTAGACCTCAGGCAATGAGTACAGTACTCACTCTACCCCTCAGTGCATATGAATTTGTTGTTTCATTGTAGTTTCTGTCCCATGGAAGTTGCTATGGCCTCAGGTTAGCCACTGAAGTGGTAGAGAATGGTTTTCTCTGGGCTCAGAGAGTTTTGGGGGCTACAGGAAGGGACCCCTGAAATGGACCCCACGGGTGGCTGGGACTTTTCTCTCTGCCTGAGGGTCATGGCAGGGAGTGAAGGAAGGACCAAGGAGAGGCACTGGATGTGCCTCCAAGTCACTCCATTTACCTTCTGCAGGGTCACCATAAATGATGTGGTGGTGGCTTGTGCTGGCGGCTGTCAGGCCATCCTGGACACAGGCACCTCCCTGCTGCTTGGGCCTACCAGAGACATCTATTACATCCAGAAGGCCATTGGAGCCACTCCGGGTCGGTTTGGACTGGTAAGGCCAGACCTCATCCCATCTCCCAAGAGCCTCTTGACTTGGGCACCCATTTTACATGGAAGGAATGATACAGGGCCATGGTGAGGTTGGGATTCCTCAAACCCACCATGGCTTTGGCTTTGGCTTTGGATGTGGCTGTAGTCTATCCTCCTGGTCCTCGGGGAGGCCATACCTTCCCTGACACTACATGCTGGCCTTCACTGTGACCCCTTCCTCCTTCTCCATGAGGAGTCTGTCCCTCCTCCTTACTGACAGCTAAATGCTCCCATTGTCCTTGCTCTGTCTAGGCCTGGGCCAGGGGAGACAAGGAGGTGAATACCCTTGTCCCAAGTTGGGGGTCTCTCCCTGGGTTGACTGGTCCTCCTCAGTGGGACTCTCTTGAGGACTATGTTTTTAGACCAAGCCTCATCCTGAGAGCCCTTCTGTCCCTGAGCAGGGAGGGGCCCCCTCCACACCCCATGGCTCACAGAGCGTACAGGAAGGTTTCCAGCACCAGGTGCCTTTTATAGCCAGGTGACTCCATCACCTTCTCTAAGGGACTTCCTTTGGTTCTTTAGTTTAATATCAACTGTAAGAGCCTGAGCAGAATGCCCACTATTGTCTTTGAGATCCATGGCAAGAAGTACCCACTGCCACCTTCTGCCTACACCAACCAGGTATGTCTTAGGGGAGGAGACCCTGGGCTTCTTCTGTCACCCCTCATCTCCTGGCCTCCCCAGATGGGGCCCCAGTCAGTGAAGTGGGTGATTAGAAGTGGCATGGACTCCACAGAGAGGGGAAGGGCATTCCTTAGACTGGCCCCTTTGAGTGGGGCCATGTTGTCTTTGGGCCTCATTTTTGTGACCATTGCAGTCTCATCCTGGGAGAAATTTGGAACAGGAACGACTGTCCACTGTGGCTGGAGGAGGTTCCCACACTCCCATGGGAACCTCTATCCACTGTTCAAGTTTCAAAGCCCTAGAGCTCTTTCTAGATTTTTTGTTTTTTAAGCTAGCCTGGGCTTTGCAGGGACTCAACTCTTTTCCCTGCTGACTTGCTGGCCTCAGCTTTGACCTAATTCTGAGCTCCCCATAGTGGTGAGGCAGACCCCTCAGCCTCTAGGCCTGCTTTGGCTGGTCATCAGGGCAGTAGGGGCTGAGAGCTGGAGGGCAGGGGCTGAGGGTGAGGGTGAGGGGAGGTCATTTAGTGAAAGAGACCAAAGTTCAGATCTCTAGGACCCCAGCTGGTAGTCTCAGCTTCACTCATTTTAATTTTTGAATTTCTGTTTCTTTATCTGTTGAATGAGATGACTCTGATACTTGTTTACTTACTTGGGAAGGTTATTTCAGGGATAAAATGAAATAGTAGAGGAGAGCAATTATGGGGGGCAGTGTAAAAATGCCCATCTTTAGGCACAGTGAAGGGAGTTGGGACCTGCTTCATCTCAGCTTTGCCTTTCCAGAACTCGTTTTCCTGTACCAGTGGTTTCCAGGGTCATGATAGTTCCCAATGGATCCTGGGGGATGTCTTCATCCGGGAGTATTACAGCGTCTTTGACAGGAGCAACAATCGCGTGGGGCTGGCCAAGGCGATCTGATTGCATGGACTCTGCTGTCCTCACACTCACACATGTACACACATACACATGTATACGTGTGCATGCATGCACATGCACACAGGTGTGCACACACATGCACACACTCACACACACAGAGATCAGGTTTCCAGGCAGATGGTTCTCAATAAACACCACATTTCTGAAAAGCCTGCCTTTCCTTGTTATCACTGGGGCTGAAGCCCTGCACCATATGGGGATGAGATGTGACTACCAGGCTGTGTGTGGGTAGAGTGGGGCACAGGGCTGAGGTCAGGGAAAACCAAGGTATGGCTCGCCTCCTTGTGCTTCCACTCTAGAACTTTCTGGCAAAAGGGCACAGGAGGGGAGACCTTTGCAGGACAAGAACAATTTGTACCTGGGAATGAGAGTCAAGGGCTTGGTAGTGTGAGTCTGAGCAGAGAATACTTGGCCTCTGGTGGGGAGGCCCCACGTCTGTTAAGAGAAAGACATTGGTGCTATTGGAAGAAGATAGGAGATGGAATAGGTGGGGAGTATCTAGGAAAGACCCTGGGAAGAACCACAGCCCAGAGTCCTATTCCCCTTCTTAGGGGCTCAGGCCTTGGCTGTCAACTCACAGTGGCTCCACGGCAGAGGGCAGACTCGTGTTAACCTGCCAAGCTGAGTACCAGGGCTCAGGCTCCCAGAGCCGGGTACCAGTGATTGTCCAGGCTCACAGAGCCCTGTATTCTCTTCTGGGAAAAGGATACATAGGAAATCGAACATTAGGGGGCATGCAAGGGGATTTGGGTGGATTTAAGAGATTTTTCTCAGTGATGCTAATTTCAGGCCCCTCCACTACCTTGGGCAACAAGTAGGCAAGGCTCTTGGGGAGACCACAGTGCTCGGAGTTGGCTGGCAGACTCCTGGACAGTGCTGTACCAGGGGGTGCATGTGTTTGCTAGCATGGCCCTCCTTTCTTTTTCTTTGCACACTCTTCTTTTGACAGTCTTCTCCCTATCGTGGAAGAGTAAAATTGACCAGGCTTCTGCCTTCTAAATCATAGCTAGCCTTGCCTGCTACTCCACCCATCCCAAATGTAGTGATTGGACTCTCAGAAGGTTTTACTCTCAGAAGTCTTGGGAGAAGGGTAGAGCCATCTTGCTATGGAGCCCCTGTCCCTACCTTATCCTGTCCATAGCCTTGCTCTGCAGATAGCTGAGAAGAAAGTGAGTATGTGGCTTGTCTCAAGGAGCTGGGAGCTGCAGGTTTGGGGTGATGAGTCACAAAGGAGACTGTCCTGTATGAAGAGAGGTGGTGTGGGCCCAGAGAGGAGAATGGGCTGACTTTGGGAGTTACCCATGGGGAGTCCTGTTCACAAACCATCTGGGGGCACCTCCTGGGGTCTTTCTCAGTTGGACCCAAGGACAAATAAGATGAAGGATCCAGGGCAGTGGAAATGCTGGCTCTGATGCCTTCCTAGGTCTGCAACTGTGCAGGGAAGGAACAGGGCAGGGCTGTGGTGGGGAAGATTCAGGCTGCAGTCCTGGGTCGGCTGAGGAGCCCAGGGTGGGTTGGGGCGGAGATCACAGAAGAACATCCCAGGGCTTCAAAGACAGAGAGTGGTGCCAGCAATGAGCAGGCCTTGGTGTTTCAGCCTTACTGGGTCAGGGAGGTGAGGCTGGTGCCAAGGAGCTGGCTTTGGGAGTTAGCTCTAAGCCTCGCCATCCTTCTCCAGGACCAGAGCTGCCTGTTTGCCAAGAATGAGACAGAATTGGGCCACTTTCATTATTTTTAGGCTTCTAGATTTAAAAAATGCTGAACAGCCTTACAGAAATTATGTTGTTTATTTTAATGGTTTACATGTAATAATCATGTCTTAAACACCCAAACTTCAACGGGAGATAATGTAGTAAGTCTGAATATGATGACTTTCATAAAGGTGGCGGTAGAGCAAATGGCTCCCCCCAAGTCCCTGGTGGAGACCACTGTCCTGAGAGGGTAGCAAGGACATGGTGTATGGTTCATCTCCCTCCTAGAACTAACAGGATGTGGGGATCCCAGCGCCCTGGTTCCAGAGAACACTGTGCCTGGAATGTTCTCTATACTCCAATCCTGCTGACTTATAATCACCCTTCACATCTCTACTCAGTCCAGTTGTTACCAGACAGAGAGGATCTGGCCAGCTGTCATTGCCAGCCAATATGCAGAGATGGGGACAGGTCCACCAAACTTCATTTGTCAGAAGGCTGGGATTCTAGAGAACAGTGAGAGTAGCCTCTCCAAGACTGTTCTGTTCTTCCATTTCCAAAATCACAGTTTTATACATGAAGGTTCAAAGCAAAGACCATATTAACTTTTATTGTAAATAATCAACACAACTCAGTAACTTATTACAACATTTCTGATTCAAAAACTAACTTCATACATCAATCTTACCAAACTATTCAAGATGAGCATCTTTAGAGTGGGAGCTAAATTTACAAAACAGTAAGAATGGGAGACAGGTAGACCCAGCGTGGTGGCTCACACTTGTAATCCAAGCACTTGGGAGGCTGAGTTGGGTGGATTGCCTGAGCTAATGAATTCAGGACCAGCCAAACTAAGGCGAGACCCTGCCTGTAAAAAATAGCTGGGAGTTGTGGTGGGTACCTATAGTCCCAGCTGCTTGGGAGGCTGAGGCAAGAGAATCTCTTAAGCCCAAAAGTTTGAGGTTGTTGTGAGCTGTGATCCCATGGCACTCTACTGAGGGTTACAAAGTGAGACTCTGTCTTGAAAAACAAACCAAAAAAAAAAAAAAAAAAAAAAAAGAATGGGAGACAAAAAAAAGAGACCAAAATGGGAATGAAGGTCAGGCAGGACCTAAACAGACCAGCCCAGCTGTGTCCTGTCTGCCCTAGCCTGACAGGCTCCACCTTATTCTCAGTACATGTGCTTTCATTCCCCACTCCTATTACTACATTTTATATCTATGAAATAAATTTTAAATGGAAGTAATGACTATGATTTACTGTACTTATCCTGGGATTGAATTTAATTCGGCCAAGGCATAGGTTTAAAGTTATACAGGGAACAACACGCAGCACGGTTAATAAAAGGCAACAAGGGGCACACTAAATACAGCAACAAATATAGATGTATGAGAATAACACACCTCCCATCCCAACAACTGGAGCTTTTGACCTTCACCTCCATATAGTTCTGCAGTCCACTGGTCCAGCTTGAGTTCACTGGTTTTTCTCAGGAGGATAAGGCTAGATGTGGGAATGATGAAATCCAGACAACTTGACCGCTGTAGGGGTCTCAAGTAGGATGTCCCAAAAGTCAGTGTACTTTTCCCTTGAGTTCCTCAGGTCTTTTCCTCCAAGTCCTGGGGATAACCTTGTTACCAGCTGGAACATATGTAGGTTTCAGGAAGCAGGGCAAGGGATCTCTTCTTAAGCAATTCAGAGGGTGGCATAGTGTGTAGCTCAGGAGGTGACTGGGCATGTTATGGCAGAGTTCAAGGCCTTGAAAAAGTCGGGAAGGCATCTTGGGTAGAAGGTCCAAGGCCAGCTGAGTAAGCTCCTTGGTCTGGGTGGGTCCATTACTGGAATCAGGATTTGGAAGATATATCTCAAAAACTGCTCCAGGATAAAGAAGTAAACAGAGGTTGAATTTGGCTTCTTTACTGACAGGGACAAAGTCAGGGTTATGTCCAGGATAAAGAATGAAATCATTTAGCAGTCACCTACAAATATCTACAAGTTCTGAGTTTTGAGGCTAAGGTTTGTGTGATGAGAACATTAGTATTCTTATTTGCAGCCTCAGCACAGTTCTTTAAGATAATAACTTAGCTTTAAGGGTCTCTATAGGACTGATCTGAAGTTCTGGGTAATTCAGGTGAATATTCCTAAAAATCAGTTGAGTGTGGGGCCACTTGTAAGGCTATGTTGTAGCCACACCATTTCCTGGGAAGTTTTTATTCAGGTTTCAATTTCTCCTGAGGCATCTGTGTACACACAGCAGATCGTGTTTAATTCTGCACAGATTCCTTCCAGTGTAGCCAACAGGCCATCTCTCTTGAGCCTTAGGTTACTGAAAAGTGTTTTAAATCTGTGTTTCTTTCCTACCAGTCTTAAGATAAGAGACAGAACTCTAATCTCACTTCTTTTGGCATATATTCTTGGCTTTTTTCTTTTGCAGTTTTTGCTGGGGGTGGGTTTGAACCCGCCACCTACAGCATATGGGGCCGGTGCCCTACTCCTTTGAGCCACAGGCACCACCCTAGTCTGGAGATTGGGACAAGTATTCTCAGCAAGCTTGTGTAATGTTACTTCTGGCGCAGTCAATTCAAAATATGGCAGACATATGTACTTTGGGGTAAATATTTTCAACTTTGTTTTTTTTTCAGTGTCCACTTTATAATTAAAATATTTTAAATATTAAAACCTAATATGTTATCTCAGGATAAGAAGCAGGAAGAAAAAACAAATTGGAACAAATCTGACTACTGTATATAATTCTATATTCTTTGGCCAGTCCCTTAGTCCTGTTAACAGATCAGTTTAGTTAAACAGCTATGTCTCATTCTTTGAGCTGGCATTGCAGACAAGGCTGCAATCTAATACAGATGAGCCATAGTTTCTTATTTTTAAACTATATTTTTTATCTCTCAAATTTCCTATTTTACTAACAACAAATTACAGCGGAACCAATTTAATTGCCAAAATAAACCGTACTTTTAGTATACAGGGTCTGATATTTGCATAAAGGGCAGTAAGAATAATTATTAGTCTCTAGGCTTTTCTTTCTTTTAAAATTGGCTTTGCTAGAGCCTTTTATAAGGAATCCCAGGTTAGACTTGAAAGTGTCTCATGAGCCCAGGTTTCATCTGTACCATTAGATACCTATGTGCATTGGGTAAATTCCTCTTCTCTTGAGGTCTCAAAGCAAATTGGAATTCCCAGACCTGCCAGAAAGTGATACTTTTTACTCACTACAGATCAGGAAATGTTATTGATGAGGTATCTGGCTAGTTTCTCTAATGGGCTTTTTATTGG